TTCACAGAAAAGGAAGGTTTTGGTATTGTTTGTATAAAACAATATATGGCTCGAGAAGAAGTACCGCAAATAGATTCAAATGATCTCACATGACAGCAATTGAGAGAGCTCCAAAAACAAGGACCAGGTCGCATTCATGATTGAGGTGACCCCTATTCACAGTTGGATGCCATGTTTTGGATTCCCAGCTAAAGAGACACAAACTGAACAAACTAACTGAAACCTTCCGAGATCCCCCAGACCGTCGGCCCATCCCCCTCTGTTCAGATGTTTAGATAGAATCAATTTGCAGTAATAAAATTACATAAATATGGTGTAAACATTTTAAATCTGCCTTTGACATGGTTTACAAACAGACGCAGCACAAAAGGCACATACATAACGGTATCATTTAAGTGCCTGAGAAATTGTTTATGAGATGGTCTCATTAAAAGTTTAACATGTTCATAACCGGTGGCAGGAAGATTCTTCATAAAAATGTTTTTGTAAAGTGGATATTCGTCGGTTAAGAAGCCACCAGCCTCATCCTGGTTCAGAGGACATGCTGGGTGTTGTAGACCTCCAACACCTGGACGTTGAGGTGTCTCCAACTATGAAAAATAAATCAAAAAATTGAAAGGGAAATGTCTGTATTTTGTTTTATTGTTGGCTGTTCTGCTTTTTTTTTTTTCTGGTTTGATGTTACAAATGAAAATAACAGACATTTTCTTCCACGTTAATCCATCTACGTATGATAATAACATAGGCAATTAAGCCTTGTTATTGGTAATCAACAAAAGGTCCACATGTATGTACGTGGGTGGTCGGAACATGCAGCCTCCACTTTAAGCCTCTTAAAAAAAAAAGTTTTATTTCTTTTGCTTGTGAATAAAGCCCTCTGGAATCTTTTCCACAAAACAAAGCCGTACTTCCAAAGTCCGGAGCGCTAAAGAGATGGCGGAAATATCTTCTTCAATGTCGTCACCGTGACCTTAAATTTAATTTATCTACAAGCTTTGATTATACTTTTTGACCTAAAACATTGTCGTCCTATAGTAATAAACTTTACACTTAAAGTGACACTATACTCAGGAGTTGAATGTTAAAAATTAGGGATGCACCGACACCAGTTTTTCGGTATCGAGTACCGATATTTTGTGTTCGGTACTCGCCGATACTGAATACCGATACCGGAAGCTGGGCAGCATGTAATGACTCGCTGCCCGGCTTCCTGATTAGCCGGGCGGTGTGTAATGACTCGCCAACCGGCTTGCCGATTAGCCAGGAAGCCATCTCCATGCTCCCTCGTCATCAGGTGAGGAGGAAACATGGAGCCGCCTTTCTGGGCAATCAGGAAGCCAGGGTGCAGGTAATGACTTGCTTCCAGACCAATCAGGAAGCGGGCGGTGAGTCATTTTACCAAGTGACGAGGGAGCAGGAAGCTGGTTTCCCGGCCAATCAGGAAGTCATTGAGCGAGTTATTACCCGCCCCCCTGGCTTTCTGACTGGCCAGGAAGCCAGCTCCATGCTCCTTGGTGATGAGGGAAGC